ATATAGTAAAAACTGTTAAAATTTATTAAAATAGGGCCCCTATATGTAATTATTTTACATTTTTGGGCCCTTATTTGCAAATTCCCTTATAAATAATATACAGTGTTTAATAATAATAATATACAGTAAGTAGTTATTGCGTAAATGAAATATTTTTTTTACAGTAGCAAAAAAAATTGAGATTGTCATACCTAACTTAAGAAATTTACCATTAATCGAGTATTCAAAGAGATCTTCGTTCTTGATAAAACGAATAGTTATTTTATTATTTGTATTAAAAATATCAGGAAGTTCAAAAACAATTGTAAATACTTACCATCTTAGCCTTTATTCATATGACAACAAATAAACTATTCCAACAATATTTCTTTTGATAATCCAATATCTACGAAGACCAAAAACCCAAAAACTATTAGATTATAGGTTGATATTTTTCCTATTTAACTGATGATGAAGTTATGATCTTTTTGGTGAAACTTTCGAAATTGCTCTTTGGAGCAATAGAGATGGCTGAAGTTAATGCTTTGCAAAATTATTTTTTAAAGCCAGTAGCATTTGTTATTCTTGCTAGATGGTCTCCTTTTTTTGATGATGAAAAATCAATAAAGAACTGCTCAAATATCGACTTCATTTCGTATTTTGATTGATTATAATAAATGAGCATTATTATAATCACTAGTAAATAACATTAATGATGACGCTTACGATAATAATGACTACAAAAAATCATTAATTTATATAATATAGTAAATTTGTATAAAATTAGTAAAATAGTAATCTTTAAAATTTTATTTCTTCATAAATTGTTAACTCAATTTGCCAAAATTTAAACACCTATTTATAAGTATAACTATATATTTGCATAGTATCAAAGATATAAATTGTATATTGATTGCATAAATGTTTTAAAAATGTTAAAAAAAATTGAATGGAATCATTTTTTTTTTTTTGAAACAAGTAATTTATAATTTATAAAAGGATAGTTTAAAACCTTATTTATTTAGTATAAAAAAATTAGAAACAAATTAATTGAATCTAAAAAATTTTATATATAAAAAAAGTTTACGTTTTTGCATCTGAATGGGTCCCCAACCCAGCCTAAAAAGGAAATTTTCATATGTAGATCATTAGATCAGGTGTAACGTTTTGTGCAACGTAAAATCGAAGACATTTTCAAAAATCGGCCGTAACTTTAAAATTTGACTAAGAAACCATCTTTTGCGCTCTAATTAAAAAAATTCCTTGCTAAATTTTACTTATAATAACCAAGCGCTAACCCTAACCTTAACCCTAGCCCTAACGTCGTAAATTCAACGGTTTATTAGTAAAAACTAATAAAAATAGTTTTTTTCCTTTTTGGGCTTTGTATCACTTGCAGAAATAAGTAAATCACCCAAAAACCACGGTTCTCCCTGTCAGTTTATTTAATTATATTAGATATTTCCGTTTTTAGTTTATTGGGGCTTGTGGGGAAAAAGAGTGTGGCTTGCTAAGAATAAGGCTTGAAAGTCGGAGCGTATACGTTGTGGGCTATGTGATATGATGATCAAAACGTATACGTTGTCGGCTATGTGATGGTTTGGCTGAGGGAAATCGGAACGTATACGCGATATCATATAGAACGAATATGTTTTAGATAGTAAAACGTATACGCGATGATAGTAGAACGTATACGATGTAGGACATTAGAATTATGAGATTAGTCTTTATAGAAGTGAAGTGTATAAATATAGGTCCTCAAAGCCTTCCCAAAAACATTAGTTATCGATTGTAATAAACAAAATCTTAATAAACAAACCATATTATTTCGCATTTAAAATCTTTAACTTACCAAATCTTAAATTACCTTAAACCCGCTAAATAAATAATCGATTCCTCACCATATATTTTTTTTTTATTGTTTTTGGTTAACGAATAGCGTATACTCTGGGTCTCTTATTTAATATAAAGGAAGTAAGCATTAAGGCCGAATAGACCTTTCCCTGAGTAACTAGAAGCCGTATACTGGATAATTTGTATTGAGTATAGAGATATTACAACTAACGACATAAGATTAGAAATAGGATTGTTAATAGGATCAATCAGTTTAGATTACATTGTTTTTTCATTGGAATAGTGATCAACGTTAAGATCACTTTTAAATTATTAGTTTATTATACGTTTAAGATTAATCCCCGATTACTTAAATTAGATTATTCCCGACCTCCCCTTATTATATCGGCATCCCGATTGATTATACCATTGATATATCATCCCTATCCCCTTCTAAACCATTCCGGATATAATTATTATTATTATCATAGTCGCTCTCCCAATTTCCTTTATAAACCTAGCGATTTTTACCTATTACCTGTTAACTATTGGAGCTAAACCGTGCATCATTACTCGCTCTCCCAATTTACAATAGTAACAATGGTCCATAATATTTTTTTATCATTACCACTAAAAAATTATTTTTACAAATTTTTAATAAAAAACAGAAAGAAAAAAACTCATGCAAACAAATTCAGTTTCTATTTCATCTTTTTTAGACTTCACTAACTTGCATATATTGCTACAAAAAAATTATCAAAGAAATTTAAGTTTCCTACTTATTATTCATAGCAAAAGTTATTAGTATTTAAACAATTTTTCATTAATTAAAATTTCCTTTATGACGTATTAAAGTATTGTGTCTTTATATTCAGCAACCCAGTTGGTGGCATACAAAATTGATGGTGACAAAAATAGTTATGTAATTGTGCGTAAAAAATCAAATACTATTGCACTCGAGGCCCTGACCAGTTTTAAATACAGTTAACTCTCTCTATTCCGTCAAAAATGTTCTTTAAGAATTTTTATATGTAAAAAATTTTTTAGGTTCAGTTCTCAAAGAGTTATTTATTAGCTAATCCGAACTCTATAATAAAATTTACAAATGTTTTAGAGTTTTTTGTTCAGTTTAGAGAGAATTTAATAGTGTTCAGATTAGAGAGGTTCGGATTAGAGAGAGTTGACTGTAAAATAATTTTAATTTTTGAAGTAATTCAACAACTATATGACGTGCATAGCTAATCAAAATACATGGAATAATAAAAGATATTTACTAGTAATACGTATTAGGTTAGGAGTATTTGATGGTCAATTTAAATCTTGTGAATAGTTTAAGTTTGATCAAAGAATTATACCCAAAAATCAGGGACAATAGCTTTCAGATTGGAGTTCCTGGCTTTGCGCAGCTACCTTATATTATCTGATGCGATCGAACTGGTTTATTTGTAAAGTTCTTAAATTTAGATATAGATCGACTCAATTATGCCCGATCACAGGACTTGAGATAAAACAATCTAAAAATAGTCTAACCTGGTTAAACAAACCTGTTTAAGCATGATTATTGGATCTATAGATTGCTTTTAGAATAGAATACGTGTAACATTTGCACAAAATCTATTTTTAGATTATAGTGTCAAAAACTTTTAACCGTCATATCTCAAAAATTTATTAATTAATTAAACTTTCAATATTAAGTAAAAAATATTTGGCATTAAATATTAGCACCCTAGCGTTACCAACCTAAAAAAATTTCGCTACTGGCATTAGGGTTAGGGTTTGGGTTTATTTTGTTTTAATTTTATGTTACACCTGATCTTGAATTTTAATTCGACCAGATAGCGAAATTTTTTAGATTGGTAACGCTAGAGCTGTTTTAAATATTATAACTGATCTATCAAACAGGTTAATTTTCAAAAAAATGTTGGGTTCTACTTTTGAGGGCCCATTGTGCAACATAATCGGATTTTTAACTCCTATTATTATACTATTCTGATTAAGGCTGATGAAACATAATTTACAAATATGGTATATATCGATTCTATTTTTAATAAGTTTGCTTATTGGTCATCTAATTTCTTTGAAAAAATTTTTGTTAGATCACGAAAGCATAACATTTAAACTATTTTGCTGATCTAAATTGATTTGATAGTTACTATATTGACATGCAATATAAAATTATTTAATAAATATTAAGTTTTTAACTTTTTAAACGAAACAGATAAAGTTTTAATTCACGCGCGTAAAAGACAATAAAGATAAAATTATCAAACAAAAAAGCTTTAAAAGGATAATGCATCAATTTAGGTCAATCAAATTCTTATCAACCAATGAAATTAAACCTTTCTCTATATGATAAGTTGCCGCTCAATTCCCCGAAAACTACTTACCCTGCAGTCAATTTACCCGATATCACATAGGGTGACAATTTAGCATTTAATTAGCTATAGGTATATTTTATTAGTAAATTTTCGCCTCATGTGATGTCGGGTAAATAGTACCGTAACCGATTATCTAACGTGTTCCAAAAAGTTCTGCATCAAATTACTAATATTGAAATTATATATTTTTCTCATTGATAAATATTTTACAATTAGTAATTGTCAGTCGTTAATGCATTTTTAGATCAAATTTTTTGAATACATAAGGGTTCAAATTTCCAATCTTTAAAGTTAGAACCACAGTAAATTATTTTATTTTCACTCTTGTAATAAATAAAAATGCTTTTTGATCTATTCAAAAAAACACAAATAAACGAGCCAAAGTCTGTTGGAATTTTTCGACGTTCTGTTATCGTAATATCAATAGTATTATTGATTGCGATAATTATAATATTATCCATTGAAATGCATAATGAACTGCCTAGCATTAATACAACCTATCGCACAGCTAATAACCTGCCCATACCAAGTAAACTTATTTCTTTAGATTTGAAAACGATAAAATTAAAAATTAAATAATGTTTAATGTAAAATTTTAAAAACAATCTAGATATCTATTTTTATTATGATAATAGTTTTAACATCACCTGTACTTTAATTAACAGCCATGTAAATGGTGAGTATTTTACAATCATAATTAGATTTATCAGTACCTTATATACATAGCATGCCTAACTCAAACTTTCTAGATTCTAATTGTAATGAATACGTGACTTATATGACTATTCCTGGTAGTGAAAATGGTCCTTATGTTGGAAAATTTTTACCAAATTATAACGTAACTTCTGATACAGGGGACTCTCAGATTCATCTTACTATAATGATCACAAATTCTAGCTTTACAGTTACCAATGAGGTCTCTTTCATGGTGATGTATGCATTTGATAAAGGTAAGGCTTTTATAAATTAATGTCAGGTTTTGGTTACTTCTATAGGTTAAAAATAATAATACGCTAATAAATAAATTATTTAGAAAATGATAATTTTGATCCGTATAGTGAAACCATTGTTAATACAACAAATACATTTGATTTATCACTTTTAGATAAAAATTTGTATTATTTATCGCAACCAAAAAATGATTTAAATGTAAGTATATTTAATACTGTAATTTATGATTTTGACTTGTCTAACTAGTATAAAATGGTCTGTATAATTTCACACAGAAACCTTAGTTCACAGATGATCAATTCGTTGATAAGTTTATTTTACATACAACAATTCTAACCTTAACTAATTATAATGATAATCTGTAAAATAAACTTGTCAGTGAATTAACTATTTGTGGACTAAAGGCGTCTATCTATGAAGTGAGCAGCGCCAGGATTTTATTATTTCATAATTTTTTTTAAAAAAAATTGAATTTGTTATATTTATTTATTTAAAAAATTTTATAGGTATATGTTTGGTCATTTACTAGAAACATTAGATATGTTTTAATTCCGGATATTTTAAGCTACTTTGGTAGACAAATTTATGTTAGCCATCCTTATCTTGAATCAACTATAGGTAAGAATGCTTACAACATTTATATTAGACTTAACTTTTAACGATACTAAAGTTATTTAAATTATTTTAACTATAGAAATTGTTCCGCTCGCGACCGCTAATAGTAAGAATATTTTTTGTTAGTAATCATTATGTTTTATCATTTCTTTTTTAATTTTGTAATACTATTATTTGATTAAATAGCTTCAGTAAATCCTTTTGCGGAATTGCAATTTTACTCCGATCTCCGTTCTATTACAAGGGAAGAAACGGAACAAAGGTAAAATAATATTAATCCGAATAATTTTTACGATTATTATCAACTTACTATCAAATTATTGTCAATTTTTATATAATTATAATGATAGGAACAAAACTGTAAGTAGATATATAGTATTGTATATGTATTCATTGCGGCGCATTTGTGTATTTTTAAGACTATAACAGATAAAGTCTTCGAATGGGAAGATTGGTTAGACGTTATCTATATGACTTTACAATAAGAAATGTCAAAAAAAAAAAAAAATTAAATGACGCACTTTATCTGTTATAGTCTAGTCAATACTTAAAAATACACAAATGTACCTTTTTTAGACATCAAAAACACTAATAACTATATATTATTTCGAATTAATAGGTTTTAAACTTACTAGGTGTTATTGGTGGTATTTGGAGTGCTATAACAGCATTTTATATATTTTTATTCGGTAAGTTTTGTCAGTTTAAAATAAATTATTTAATAATTAATGTTAATATATATATATCTATCTATTTAAAAAAAACTGGTAGGACTTGGTTTAATCTCTCCATGGGGTATTGTACAAAAATCAAACTTGTTCAAAAATCAATATAAAAAAAAATTATTACCATTTTCAATGGATTCACAACTTGAACTTGAAATTAAAGAGTATGAAAATGATTCATTGCTAAAACGACTCGATAATTTGGAGAAAAGAGCTGAACGTTTGGAAAAATCTAATCAATTCTATAAAGAATGCATTATCGATACTTCAATATTAAATTCTTTTGAAATTGATACTTTTACTAACAATAATAGTAGTAGCTCTCTTATGCAGAATAACAACGGAAATAATAGTAATAAATAGCCTAAGTATTAACGATAAAATCATTCCAATTTTATTACTTGTAATTAAATACTTAATTATTCAAAGACAATTTATATTAATGGCTTGGATTTACCTTTCTAAATTTAGTACATTTTACTAGATTTAGTATAGTATTTAAGCTAATTATTTAAAAATTTTAAAAGCAAATTATATATTTAAATAGTATTTTATAGTTTTTTTTTAAAAAAATAGATACAATTGTATTAAAAAGTTTGATATTCTTTGTAATTTTATAGAATTTTTTTAGATAGTCTAGATTATTTTTAAAATTTAGTTATAAATTATTTGTGATATATTTATTAAATATAAAAGATTTTTAATTATTATAATTATAATCTATTTTTATAACTTTTGTTAAAATTTTAAAAAAATTGATTTAGTAAAAAAAAATTTTAATTTTATTTAAAATTTTAAAAAAATTAATTTAGTAAAAAAAATTTTTAATCTTATTTAAAATTTTAAAAATCTATATAATATACCTAAAAAAAGTAATTATTTTTAATTGGTATTACATGCTATTATATAATACAAGTAATAATAACCAAATAAAGACAAAATTATCAAACAAAAAAAACTTAAAAAGAATAATGTATCGTTAATCTTCAATTTAGACTAATCAAATTCTTTTCAACTAATGAAATCAAATCTTTCTCAATGATTTTCTAATGTGTGCTAAAAAGTTCTGTATCGAATTGAAAATATTGAAATTATACATTTTTCTCATTGAAAAATATTTACAATTAGTAATTGTCAGTGGTTAATGCATTTTTAGATCAAATTCCTTGAATACTTAAGGATTCAAATTTCTAATATTTAAAGTTAGAATTATTTTATTTTCACTCTCGTAATAAATAAAAATGCTTTTTGATCTATTCCGAAAAACACAAATAAATAAGCCAAAGTCTGTTAGAAATTTTCGACGTTCTGTTATCATTATATCAATAGGATTGTTGATTGCGATAATTAAGATATTATCCATTGAAGTACATAATGAACTGCCTAGTATAAATACAACCTATAGCACAGCGAATAACCTACCCATTATAAGTAAACCTATTTCTTTAGATTTAAAAACGATAAAATTAAAAATTAAATAATGTTTAATAGAAAATTTTAAATCAATATAGACCTCTATTTTTATTATGATAATAGTTTTAACATCACCTGTATTTTAACTAACGACCATGTAAATAGTGAGTATTTTACAATCGTAATTAGATTTACCAGTACATTATGCACATAACATACCTAACTCAAACTTTCTAGATTCTAATTGTACTGAATACGTGACTTATATGACTTATCCTGATAGTCCAGACGGTCATTATGTTGGAAAATTTTTACCAAATTATAATGTAAATTCCGATACAGGGGACTCTCAGTTTCGCCTTCGTATAATGATTACAAATTCTAACTTAAAGTTACCAATCATACCTCCTTCATGTTGATGTATGCATTTGATAAAGGCAAGGTTTTTATGAATTAATGTCAGGTTTTGGTTACTTCTATAGGGTTAAAATAACAATATGCTAATAAATAAATTATTTAGAATATGATAATTTTGATCCGAATAGTGAAACTATTGTTAATACAACAGATACATTTGATTTATCACTTGTAGATAAAAATTTGCATTTTTTGTCACAATCAAGTAATGATTTTGTTGTATGTATATTTAATACAGTAATTTATGATTTTGACTTGTCTAACTACGTATTGATAACATTATTATTAATAATATTATTTTATTACATATGTAAAGAAAGTATATATTAGGCGAAAATTCTCTTTCAATAAAACCAACTCTTAGAGTTCGAAAAGTAAAACCTTCTGAGTCTTTAATAGTCTTGAAAAGAAGTGTTTGTTCTAAATACGTTTCCTTTTAAATTGTTATAAATCGTTTTTCTTGAATAGTTAATTTTTTCTGTCTTGGCCACGTGATATTTTCTCGTAAAATCCAGTTTCTAGTTAAAGTACCCAAATTATTCTATCGCATACTCTTTTATCAAACAATTGATCAGTTTCGTATTTGTTACGTAGAATCGACTCATAATAATTTTTGTGCCCTCGTGACAACCAAATCGTGACTTCCGATAAACGTGACCAAGACAATCCCTAGACTATAGTTGTTAGGCGAAACTGTTTTACAAAAATGGCGAAAGACGAAACCTAAACCCAAAAAAGGCGAAACTGACGAA